CACTTTTACAGAAATGAGAGAAAGCATTAATCTTACATTTTTATCTTGCACAGTCGGGAGGGGTGGAGCCTTGAGATGGGTTTTGTAGGAGTTACCTGCTGCAGCTAAGATTCAGCCGAGAGGAAGCCTCTGAAGTATCTTAATTATGGACAACATCAATCTTAGTTGGAGTACATCCTGCATCCTGTGATCTAAGCCAGAGCGCATTTCATTAGGTGCATGAAGCAGGGGTCGGGGCGTTTCGACCCTGGCCTAGAGGCTATATCCTGTGGGCAGTTGTGCCATGCACCACCACCCTTCTCCTTAGTTTCTAAATTTAATCACACTAGCAGAGTCAGGATGGTGGGTGTGGAGTCAGATAAGGGTCAACTGAAAATTTCCCACTCTCCTAAGCAAGCAAGCAAGCAAGCAAGCAAGCTTAATGCAGAAGCTAATGGCTGGTTATTGGCTACCTAGGGCCCTAGGCCCTAACACCTGCTCACCTAAGCAGAATTTGTCCATCCCTGGAATTTGGGACTTGAAGACTTCTTTGCATCTATGGCTCTTATTTTTAAAATAAGATTCTTTTCTATTTTTTTCCATTTAGTTTAGTTTATACTTTTTTGTTTTCATAGTGAAAGTAATAGTTCTTGTAACTTTCTACATACTAAGTGGTATTGTGATTTATAATTTTTTTCCAGTCCATGCTTCATTCATTTAAAGCACTATATATTATTACTTGGTATGATTATACCACAATTTACCTTTCCTCTATCTAAAAATTCAGAGTATTTCTTTTCCCTTCTATTACAGTTTTTAGACATCATCTTGGACATACATGTGAGAATGTGTCTACAGTATAAACACCTAGAGCAGAAGTACTGGATTATTCAAACTACCCAAGAGGAATAGCAATAAGTGCCCCTATTGCCATGCACAACACTCAAATGCCATCTTGAAGTCTGTTATCACTTCACATATTTTATAGTTTTCTGATGTACAGAACTTTTGTAATCAAGACAAGTGTTATCAGTTTTTCTTTTAGAATTTGGAAATACTTTCATTATTCCAAACTTTGGTGCAACAAACAGCAAATTTTATGTCTCTTTGATCACATGAAGGATTATTTCTTTAAGATAGATACCTAGAAGTGGATTTTTGTTGTCATCAAACATGTAACATGCTTTTTTTGAATGTTAATACATGTATCAAACCACCAACCACTCACAACCTATTGTTATTTTATTTTTTGTTGCATCTTTTTTTATTTCAAAATATTACAGAGGTACAAATGTTTTTGGTTACATGGATCACTCTTGTTATGCTTGAGTCAGGGTTATAAGTGTGCCCGTCACCCCTCGTACCTGTTAGGTAGGTGTTTGCCTATCCTCTTCTCTCCCCTTCCCCCTGCTTGATTTCCACTGAGTTTTGCTTCCCTCTGTGCACACATGTGTTAATTCTAATTTAATAATGAGTACATGTGGTGTTTGTTTTTTCATTATTTAGATATTTCATTTAGGATAATGTTCTCCAGTTCCATTCAAATTGTTGCAAAAGGACTTAATTCATCCTTCTTTGTAGCTGAGTAGTGTTCCATAGCATACCACATTTTGTTAATCCACTCATGAACTGATGGGCACTTGGGTTGATTCCACATCTTTGCAATTGTGAATTGTGCTGCAGTATATATTCGGGTACAGGTGTCTTTTTGGTAAAATGACTTGTTTTCCTTTGGGTAAATACCCAGTAGTGGTATTGCTGGATCAAATGGTAGCTCTAGTTTTAGTTCTTTGAGGAATCTCCATACTGTTTTCCATAGACATCGTGATAATTTGCAGTCTTAATAACAGTATATAAAAGAATCTATTCTCGTAGAATCTTCTAAATCCTTGATTTAAAAACAATTATATTTGCCTGTTTGGGGGGACAAATAGTTCATCACATTGCTATTGAATTTGCATTTTTCTGATTATCAGTGAGTTTGAACAAATATTTCATATTTATTGACAATTGGGATATTCTCTTCTGTAAATAGTCTATATCTTTTGCCCAATTTTTTGTTGTTTTTTTAATTTATCAATTGATTTTTTTGACAATTTTACATAGTAAGAAAGTCTTGTATGTTCCAAAGTTTTCTTGGACTTCCTGAATTTCTTTTAATTTTGTTATTTTCTCCATGCAAAGAAATTTATAATTCTATTCAATTTTTTTCTCTGTGTCTTCTGGATTTTCTGTCTCGCTTAGAAAGTCTTAGTTTAAAAAAGAAAAAAAGAATTATTTTAATGGATTTATTAAGGTATAATTTACATACCACAAAATTCACTCATTGTTTGTGTAAAATTTGATGATTTTAGTAAATTAACATATTTTTGCAATTACCACCACAATACAGACATTTCTATCACCTCCAAAATTGCTCTATTTATAGTTAGTTAATTCCTGCCCCTATCCCAAGCCCTAGGCACCCACTGATCTGCTGTCTATGTGTATAAATTTACCTTTTCTACACATTTCATATAAATGAAATCATATGACATGTTATCTTTTGTGTCTGGTTTCCTTCACTTAGTGTAACATTTTTGAAGTTCACCAGTTATGTCCCATTTATCATCATTTGTTCCTTTTTTTTCTCTTTATTTGTATAAATTTATGGGGTACAAGGGTATTTTTGTTACATACATGGATTGCATATAGTAGTGTAGTCGGGGATTTTGGAGTATCCATCATCCAAATAATGTGCAGTGCACCTTTTAAGTAACCTCTCATCGTCCCAAGTACAAGGGATGAGCCCTGCCCTGGGAAAACCACCTTCATGGTCATGGCATCTCCCCTGCCAGGTAAGTATACTTTTGTTTCGTCTTATTGAATAGTATTACATTGTATGGATGTAGCACGTTTTGTTTATCCATTTATAATGCAAGGGTATTTGGATTGTTTCCGGTTTGGGGCTATATGGCTAGCGCTGCTCTGACCATGTGCACACATATCTTTGTGACGACATATGTTTCCACTTCTTTTTGGGATATTCCAAGGAGTGAAATTGCTGAATATACACATGAAAAATGTATATTACACTTTTTAAGAAATTGCCTAAGTATTGTCCAAAGTACTTTTAACATTATACACTCTCACCAGCAAGACTTAGAAAAATCTATTTATCTTCTAACATAATTAGGTTGATGATAGTAACAAAAATAACACCTGTTTTATTAATTTAATATTTTCTATGTTTCAATTTTATTAATCAGGGATCCATTTTGTGAAAGGAATGAGTTTGAAATATGCCTTACCAACAAATTGGAGCACTCCATTTATCTTAAGCTAAATCTCAACTGTTTGAGGTTATTATTCTGGACTCTGTTCAGTAGTGTTTTTAATCAGTGATTCAGTACAGTAGCAAGGCGTATTAAAACAGATGTGTATATGTCTTAGCATCCTGCAGAGCTCCTCATCCCTTATTATACTTCTTTGTTTTCAAAAATTCCCCTGGAAAATATATTTTCCTCATAAAATTACATAAAAGCATACTGTATTAAATTCTAAAAACAAGCAATCATTTTGCCTGCTTTTTTTTTATCATAATTTGGTAAATGGCTGTCATTTAATATTCAATGTTTTTTTTAAAAAGACTCAAAACATTGAAGATGCCTATCAAGAATCTATAGGCCTTCATGAGGAAATTAACTAAAATACTAACAATCTAATAGTACCAGAAATTATCATTTCCCCAACGCTAAAATCATTCTCTCCTACCCCATCCAACATTTTTCTTTTGAAGAAGATTTTATTTTGCCCCCTGTCTTCCCATGTGTCAGGCCCACTCCACAAAGCTTGGGTCACAGTTTGAGCCCCACTGTGATCCCAAGGTCCTTCCAGTGTGTGAGGAAGCGGGTCTAATAGGAACACTGGGAAAAGCTTAGTTGCTCTTTCTAAAAGCACACAGGAAGAAATAGTTTCCTTTTCCTGCCTTTGGAAGCAGTGAGAGAATATGAAACCTATTCCTCTGGGTGTCCTTCCACCACCTCAGGAAAGCTGACCTGCCGCGCACGACAGAGAGATGAGCTATCAGGTTCCAGGATGGCTGGCGATGCCACCGGGCTGCTGACCTAGCAGCCCTCGGGAGGCCCTGCCACGGCTCCACCTGCTGTGTGGACTAATGAGTGAAGCCAGTTAGATCGGCTTCCCTGCTACTCGCAGCAGAGGCACCTTCGTTGAGATAGTCATTCCACACATTTAATTCTGCCTTGTGATTTCACACACGGGTCTCGTGTAAGATGAGACAAATCATTTCTTCATCTCAGGGAAAAAGCATGAGTATAGTCACCACCCTGGGATCAAACAGAACAGCTGTGACTATCAGCTTATTAAATTCCTATAGGATAGTGTGCGTTGCACAAATAATACATAATTAAAAATAAAGTATACATAAAATAAACTTTTAATTTGATTGAAAATAAGATCATGGTTATCTCTGACAGTGGGAAAATTGTGTTCAATGATTATTAATGTGAAATAATCTTCTGAATTGGTTATCTGCTTTTTAGATTTGACTTAAATTTGAAACTGACTCTTCAGATGGAACAAAGTGGCAGGACCCTCCATCTTAATCAGCTTCCTTGTCTTGCTCTGAAATCTTACCAACTGCTTCATAATAGTATATTATTGAAGTCTACAGAATTTAGAACTATGTACTGGTACTTCCTAGCTGGCTTCTCAGTATATACTATTGTCAAGTTTGTTTCAGTTGTTTCAGTCTGTTTTCAGTTTTTATACATTGCCTTTTTAAATTTTTGACTTAAAATTTGAAATTTTTTATAATTGACAAAAATTATATAGTATATTTATGGTGTACAGCATGATGTTTTGATGTATGTCTACACTGTGGAATGGCTGAACCAAGCTCTTTAACATACGCATTACCTCACATAGTTGTCACGTATAAATGAAAACCACTATTGTACTGGGATCTAATCTTCTCTTTCTCTTTTCTATTTCTTGTCCTTGAAGCTGCATGAAGCACATGGTTTTTCACTCCATGTTTATTTGAGAAAAATTTAATAAAGTAACTCAGGACAAGGTGAGTTCAGGTGCACACGAGGCAGTAAGGGTTGGGTACAAAGGGGACCAGGAAAGAATGGACGTACGGTGCTGAGTCAACACTGGGACGTCCAGGCCAAGGGCAAGGGCTGAGGAGGCCATTAGGGAGGACATTTTCTGCAGGGCCACTGAACCAGGAGCGAACAAGGACTGAGAAAGCACTCTCTTTGTGGAAGAACAAGCCAAGCAGGAAGCCTCCTCATGCTGCGAAGCTGGGACAGAAGTTTCTTCCTGAGTGTCACCATCTTCACCTCAGCTCAGGAGTCCTGCAGAAGACAGAGGACAGTGTTGTTTTCAGACTTAACTCTACAAACAGCTTCTTTTCCCCTCTTTCAGGGCCTCGTGTGAGACAGCTGCAGGAAGCAGAAAGACATCTTAAGTCTTCCTGAGCCTTTGCCACTGCAGAGCACAGACCTTTTACTAAGCAGAGAGAAGACTCTTTACTGTAAACTGCCTGACCAGAAATTTGGACCCAAACTGTTTCCCATGACTTCTGCCTTGTGTCTTGCCACCTTTACCATTGTTCTAGAGAAACTGGAACTGTCTTTCAAAGAGGATGAAAGGGCATTACCTGTTGGCTGAAGTCCAGAGTGTCCTGGGAAAGAGAGGGAAAATACACACTTAAAAGATGTGGAATCAAATCTGTCCTCAGATACAGTGTCCCCAGGCCCACACCTCCCACATGAGATTTCTCTAACACCACGACCCACACCAGGAGGGGCAGAGAGCGAGCAGAAACTGAGAGCCTGTGCCCCAGGCAGCTTCTGTCACATAAATCCAGTGGAATTTCATTAGCTTTATGCAGGCCATAAGCCCTTACGCTTTGACGTAGTAACCAGGAATTGTTGATTTTGACAACAAAATCAACAATTTGGGAAATCTGAGGTCAACTGGGGAAAGACGGCTTTACATAGGGCCACGGACACACTGAGAACTAGCGTCAGCATGGCCATATTTCTTCCTCCAGAAAAGCATATGGGGAGACTCAGCTACCAGCAGTTCCTCACCTTTCTGATTCCTGAAGTAGATGAACAGCCCCAGCCCAAGGAAGAGCAGACCCAGAACAAAGCCCCCGACTCCACTCAGCATCTTGCCCTGCGCAGATTCAGACTCTGCTCCTGAGAGAAAAAGCCAGGTTTAGTGATTTTTACCCCAATCCAACTTCTGTAATTGAGACCCTGTGATTCAGAGCTTTGAGAATGGGGGAAGAAGTCTGCCTTGGAAGCACCAAAATACTTGGCCATTTCTGGAAGAGACTATAAAATCACACTCAGTAGCTACAAGGTTCAGGCATTGAACTCCTTTAAATATTACCACCCTGACATAAAGCAGGGCTTGAACATCTGACAAACAAAAAGCCTGGAACTCAGTGAGGTTAAGTAGCTTGTCTAGAGTGACAGGGCTAATAAAAGGCAGAGCTGAGATCGGACCCCCCTCGCATCAGGAAGGCCCCCCCATCCCTACACCGCTCCTCTTCTCAGATGCAAAGGGACAACTCAGAGCGACAGCAGCGGGGCCAGCAGTGCAATCCCAGCCCCAGAGGCAGGGCCTGGTGTCCAGGGCCAGGGGGTGATCAAGACCTTCGACATCATGAAAGGTTCAAAACAGGGACAGACACTTTTCTGCCTGCCAGATATGATCGCTTCCCCAGGGGTATAAGTGATTCTGGAAACTACCACAGGGCTACCCCCAGTGACTGTGCTGAAGGGCAGGAAAACACGGAGCAAATGAAAACACGACGTGGGAGAGGAGAAACCTGACGCTGGGGGCTAAGCAGAGTCCCCTCCCTGGTGGGCGGGACTGTGTGAGGTTGGAAGGCTGCTCACTCCATTCCACCGAGACAGGGCTCGTGCGGCTGGGGTGCTCCACGTGGCAGGTGTAAACCTCTCCACTCTGAGGAACTGTCTCGAGCATCACCAGGGTCTGGAAGGTCCAGTCTCCGTTCCGGATCAGGCCTGTGGAGGAGACCACCGCGGCCTCCTCCTCCCGGCCGTTCCGGAGCCACTTGACTTCAATGCTGCCTGGATAGAAACCGTTCACGGAGCAGACCAGGAGGTTGTGGCGCTGCAGGGGCTGAGTCTTCGCAGGATACACGGTCACCTTAGGCTCAACTAGGAGGGAAAGATAGAGGGAGTAAGTGCGGAATACAAGATAAGCCTCCTCGGTTGGCTGTCCTGCTCTCTCCAAATCCAGGCTCGGTCTCAGGTAGGCCTCGAGCAAAGCTGGCCATGCGGCCAGCAGTGTACTGTCCCGGGCCTTGAAATTAATCCTTACAGCAGGGACCTATCAGGTTTGAGAGATGTTGAGGAAAATTGTGTTTGTTTTTTTCATAGCTTGAAACTGCTATTTATTACAAAGTTGAGGTGTTTGAAAATCTTTGCAAAGCATCTATTATATTAATTAACAGTGTGATTTCTGGAGCCAGACTGCCTGGTTTGGATCCAGGCTCCTACGGGTCAACACTGGGAGAGTTTTTCAATTCCTCTGGGCCTCATCTTTCTCACCTTTAATGCAGGATAATAATACTAGTTTATCTCATGGGATCATGTGAGGATCAATGCACCTAAAATACATGAAACTATGACTGCACGCAGCCTTCAATTTCTGTTAGCTCTTTATTGTCCTTGTTTACCCTGAGAGAAAAGTATGATTCAAAGCAGTATGGATAGACTGGCGGACAGAGCAGGGTAGACAGGGGTGAGGAGTATGAAGCTTTAGGAATGCTACCTCACACATTAGAACACCACAGAAACGGCTCTGCCCCTGAGAAGGAGGAACAGAAAGAAGTTTCTCTAACTCTGTGAGTTCAGTCTCTAGAAAAGCATGAGTCCTAAAGGAGAGAGACAGGAGTAAGGAAAGTCATTCATTTAAAAAAGTTCTTATATTCACATTGAGCTGATCAATCTGTCTCCATTGCAAAATAAGCTTAATTATTATTAGAGCTACCATTTTTAAGTCTAAAGGTATAATACGTAACTACTTAAATACTATTACCATTGTTATAAAAATAGTAACACCATGTTAACAAATTGTAATTTGAAAAACTAGTTTCACAATCATTTCCAATATATAAAAATATATACGGTGAGGAAAAGAATTCCAAAAAATTTAGACCTGAAAGAATCTTCAGAAAGGTCAGAAGTGCCTCAGAGGTCTCCTCACTTCCCCTGAAAATCGGTCTAATACTTTTTCCGAATGAAATGCTTATGCAAACAAACACTCCACTCATTTCAGAGGTGTCAAGATCACCAAGGGCGTGTGCGGGGACAGTCTGTGGCTGGACTGGCCACCTCACGTTGCCCCCAACCGTTCACACTCTCTCCTCTCCTCCGCTAATGCTCCGCCGCAACCAGGACACCGCACCCCTCCCCCGCATTTGAGGCCTATGGCGGTCCAGGCCCCCCCAGCCGCCGCCTAGGACGGCCCAAGCAAAGCGCCTCCTGCAGCGCTCCCCAGTCACGCGCCGCCCCCGCAGCGTCCCACCACGGTCAACGCTCGCGCAGCGCCACCGCGGTCACGCGCCGCAGCCGCCACCGCGTCACGCGCCGCGCACGCCCACGGCGGTCAGCGCCGCCGCACGCCACCGCGGTCAGCCGCCGCAGCGCCCACGCGGTCAGCTCCGACCGCAGCCCCACCGCGTCACGCTCCCCGCGCCCCAGCCCACCGCCGGTCACGCTCGCCGCAGCTCCACGCGGTACGCTCGCAAAGGCCACGCGGTCACGCTCGCAGCCGCCACCGCGTCACGCCGCGCAGCACCGCGTCACGCTCGCCGCCCCAGCGCCACCGCGTCACGCTCGCCGCAGCGCACCGCGGTCACGCGCCGCCCCAGCGCCACGCGGTCACCTCCGCCCACGCCACCGCGGATCACGCTCCGCCGCCAGCGCACCGCGGTCACGCTCCCGCACGCCACGCGGCACGCGCCGCAGCGCCAACCAGCGGTCAGCTCGCCGCCAGCCCACCGCGTCACCCGCAGCGCACCGCGGTCACGCCCGGCCAGCGCCACCGCGGTCACGCTCCGCCCACGCCACCGCGCACCTCCGCGCAGCGCCCCACACGCGTCACGCCCGCGCATCGCCCATCCGCCGTCACGCCGCGCCCCAGCGCACCAGCGTCACGCGCGCCGCAGCGCCACCGCGGTCAGCGCCGCCGCCAGCGCCACGGCGCCGTCACTCGCCGCCACAGCCTGGCCGCCGCTCACCGTCGGCGCCGCACGGTGAAAGCTCTCGAAACCCCGTAGTTGTGGTCTGCCAGTACGTGCTCAACCGCGGCCCGCCTCGTCCTCCCATGATGTCCTGCTGGCTGTCAGTACTCGGCGTCCGCGCCCACGCTCGTCCCGCCCGGTACGCCACTCGCTGCCGAAGCGCGCGTACTCCTCGCGTGTAAGACGTATCTCTCAGAACCGCACCCGCTGCGTCTCTGTAGAAATGAACTCCACGCTAAACTGCTCCAGGAAACGTGCTGTGGGGAGCGGCAGGTCCGGTCACGCGCCGACTCGCGGGCCGAACTGACGCACGCCACGTGCCGGGCGCGGGGGGACGGGGACAGGCGGGGCGCCACCCCTGAACCACCCCGGCTCTCCACCGACCGGGCGAGCGCGGGGACCCAGCAGCCTGCTGCGGCCAGCGCGCGCCGAACCGCCGCCGCTCTTCACAACCGCGGGCGCCTCGCGCCGGATCGGGGGTGGGGGAGCTTGACTCCTCCCTGGCGGAGCTTAAAGCGCAGTGAAGGGGAATGCGGACCGCGCAGGCTGAGCTGCAGGGCAGCGCGCCCGTGGACGGATGGCGGGGGCGGCGATCTGAGAGTCGGGGAGATCTAGTGGTGGGCGATCTGAGAGTCGGGGCCGATCTAGTCGGGGCGATCTGAGAGTCTGGTGCTAAGGTGGGCGATCTAGAGTCCGGGTGATCTGATGTCGGGGCGATCTAGAGTCCGGGTGATCTAGTGTGGGGCCGATCTGAAAGTGGGCGATCTGAGTGTGGGGAGATCTAGTGTGGAGCATCCTGAGAGTCGGGGAGATCAATGGTGGGCGATCTAGAGTCGGGCCGATCTGAGAGAATCGGGGTGATGCTGAGTGTCGGGAGCGACTGAGTGTCGGGGCGATCTAGAGTCCGGCGATCTGATGATGGGGCGATCTGAGAGTCGGGCGATCTGAGTGTGGGGCGATCTCAGAGTCGGGCCGATCTGAGTGTGGGGCGATCGAGGTGTGGGCATCTGAGATCTGCATCTGAGAGTCCGGGAGATCTGAGAGTCAGGGCGATCTGAGAGTCGGGGGCGATCTGAGTGTGGGGCGATCCTGAGAGCGGGCGATTGAGATCGGGGCGATCTGAAGTTGGGGCATCGAGAGTCGGGGCGATCTGAGAGTCGGGGCGATCTGAGTGTGGGGCGATCTGAGAGTCGGGGCGATCTGAGAGTCGGGGCGATCTGAGAGTCGGGGCGATCTGAGTGTGGGGCGATCTGAGTGTGGGGCGATCTGAGAGTCGGGCGATCTGAGAGTCGGGGCGATCTGAGTGTGGGGCGATCTGAGAGTCGGGGCGATCTGAGAGTCGGGGCGATCTGAGTGGGGGCGATCTGAGTCGGGGCGATCTGAGAGTCGGGAGATCTGAGAGTCGGGGAGATCTGGAAGAGTCGGGGCGATCTGAGTGTGGGCCGCTGAGAGTCGGCGATCTGAGAGTCCGGGAGATCTGAGAGTCGGGGCGATCTGAGAGTCGGGGCGATCTGAGTGTGGGCGATCTGACGTGGGCGATTAGAGTCGGCGCGATCTGAGTGTCTGGCGATCCTGAGAGTAGGGAGATCTGGAGAGTCGGGGCGATCTGATGGTGGGCGATCTGAGAGCGGGGCGATCTGAGTGGGGCCGATCTGAGGTGGGGGGGATCGAGAGTCGGGGCGATCTGAGTGTGGGGGCGATCTGAGAGTCGGGGCGATCTGAGTGTGGGGCGATCTAGGTGGGGCGATCGAGAGTCGGGCGATCCTGAGTGGGGGGCGATCTGAGAATCGGGCGATCTGAGTGTGGGGCGATCGAGAGTCGGGCCGATCTAGTGTGGGGCGATCTGGTGTGGGCGATCCTGAGGTGGGGGCGATCTGAGTGTGGGGCGATCTGAGAGTCGGGGCGATCTGAGTGTGGGGGCGATCTGAGAGTCGGGCGATCTGAGGTGGGCGATCTGAGATCGGGCGATCTTGATGTGGGGCGATCTGAAGTGTGGGGCGATCTGAAGTCGGCGCACTGAGTGTGGGCGATCGAGATCGGGCGATCCTGAGTGTGGGGGCGAATCTGAGAGTCGGCGATCTGAGTGTGGCGACTGAGAGTCGGGGGCGATCTGAGTGTGGGCGTCTGAGAGCGGGGCCGATCTGAGTGATGGGGCGTCTGAGTGTGGGCGATCTGAAGTCGGCCGATCTGAGTGTGGGGGGGCCGGGATCCTGAGAGTCGGGGCGATCTTGAGTGTGGGGCCGATCTGAGAGTCGGGGCGATCTGAGTGTCTGGGCGATCTGAGTGTCTGGGCGATCTGAGTGTGGGGGACGATCTGAGAGCGGGCGATCTGAGTGGGACGATCTGAGAGATCGGAGGCCGATCTGAAGATGGGGCGATTCTGAGAGTGGAGCGATCTGAGTGTGGGGCGATCTGAGAGTGGGGCGATCTGAGAGTCGGGGCGATCTGAGTGTGGGGCGATCTGAGAGTCGGCGATCTGAGTGTGGGCGACTGGGCGGGGGCGATCTGAAGTTGGGGGCGATCTGAGAGTCGGCGATCTGAGAGTCGGGGCGATCTGAGAGTCGGGGCGATCTGAGAGTCGGGGCGATCTGAGAGTCGGGGCGTTCCAGGCTGGACGAAAGCAGGTTCGGGGCGAGCGCGGTCCCCGCAGGACTCGGGCGGTGCACTCACAGCCGCAGGGGCCTGCGGGCTTTGCAGACCAGACAGCCCGCGCCCACCCGCCCGGGTGGAGGCCGAGGCCGTCCTCCCAGCTCTCCTGATGAGGACCAGGCAGGAGCGGAAGGACGGACGCGACCGGGCAGAGGGCTCTCAGGAGTTGGTTGTTTGAGGAAGGATTTGCTAGAAGCAGCTGTTCTGCCCACCGTGCTCTGCCACACAGGACGCGAGCTGCTCGTAGCAGGAAGCGACTTTCTCCTGCCGATTTGGCCAGAAACAAGGAACTGAACAGGGCAGGGGAGGGCTCGGCCGTCCCGAGTGTGAAGCCCTCACCGAGCCCTCTGTGCCCACTCTCCTCTGGACTCAGCCCGCCCGCGAGTGGGCCGGCCGTGCTGCCCCCGGCCTGCGCGCGAATCTGCCCTCTGGTCAGTCCCTTCCAGTGGGGCGTTAGGAGCCGGAGCAGGGCCGTCCGAAGAGTGCGGCGACGATGCGACATGGAGGGCCACTGGTGTGGGCAGGGGACAGAGTGGGCGCGTGTCCGTGTCTGGACAAGAAGGGAGGCACATTCCAGGTAAAGGTAGAACCTGCCGCGAAAGCTCGAAAGAATCGAGAAACTTCTGCCAGAAACGAGAGGGAAGTTCACTGAAGCACAGAGTGAGGGGACGGAGTTGTAAGATTAGGCTGGAG